TGTTCGGCTCCCAGAATCTCATTTTCATACTTGCATGCAGGCTAAAAGAAATAAGCTGTTTGCAGGCTTGATTAATCAGACATTGGAGGGTTTTTTTGTCTCTTTGATCTCTTTCGTCTCCTAGGTAACTTGCTTGACATTAATGTTGAGCTTGAGTAAAGACAATCAGGAATTGTCGGCCAAACTGATATAAAAATTAAAGACCTTAACACTTTAAGTACTCCAGTAATGGTTCCGCTTTACTTCAGAAAACATCTGTTTTCATTTAATTAAAGAACAAAAGAGAACGGCATAAATATTTTTCATAGAGACCTATTATTCTATAAAAAGTTAAAGTATGATAATTGGTATTTTTAAATAAGTACCTTGAAAGTGTTCAAAAGGGAGGAAAACTTCATAACTCTGTTACAAGCTAGTAATTTTGAGATGACTAAAATATTTTATAAAATGGATAAGCAGTTCGTAGCTGTGCTAGATTAAGCTGTTGGAATCAGATGCTTCAAAAGATTATCAGGAAATTTTATGAGAACATTTGTAAGAGGAACTAACTTTATTTTGAAGTTTTTTTTTTTTTTGAAACCTGCAGTGTGTTTATAAGGATGTGCCATCATATCTGTTTTACGACCCAATATGGTTTACACACACTGAACCTGTAAAATTGAAAGGAATTAAAAAAATGTCGTGGTGCATTTGCTTGAGGTTGTGCAGGCGCTTTTACAAATCTTCCAAGTGGCTGTAAAGATGAATGCCTCAAGGGTCCAGCCAGGGCCCTGCTTTTCCAACCAGCTAAAGCCCTTATCTTAAATCCAAGCAAAGTACCATTAATCTTTTTGAAAGACCTTTTATGGCTTTTAATATATCCCAAATTAGAACATTTTACACCCTTGGTTCCTGAAATATGGTGATAAAAAGCCTTTAGAGCTTAATTTTCCTTACCGCATGCTCCGACCAATTTGCAGTTCTTTGTGATAATGTTTAGACACCTTAATTAAAATGCAGCAAAATATTGGATGTTCTATATGGAAAATGCTGATACTTTGGCTACACATACAAGAAATCCTGTATGTATTTTTATTCATTAAAAATGTCTTCTTACATTGTGTTACTATAGTTATCTGATGACCCCGAACTGTTTTTTTTTTTTTTAATACAAAAGCCATTGACCAAGCTTTTGGGATGTTTACATTGGGCAAGAAGATGCATTTTTCTTGTATAGAGGTGAAAGGGTGATTCCTGTCTGCCTGTCTTGTTTGTTGTAGAAATACAGCACAGTATCCTTTTATATTCTGAAACTCGGGTTTGACATCTCGACTGAAAAATACATTTTTTTCTCAACTACCTCTTCATGGAAGGCCTTATTATCTTTTTGTATTTCCAGATATTCTTGTTCCATTTCTTTCTCCACAGAAATAAGTGAAACATATTCACTTAAGCATTCAAAAGTCAAAAACTACAGTGGATTTTCATCATTACAAATTGTAATTTTTTTCTGTAAAAAAACCTTGTTTTAATGTTTATTAATTGAAGAACATTATATTTAACCTGGGCTATGGTCTAAAGCAGGTAGATACTACGTCCTTATAGGAACATTGTCTGAAAGTGCTCCTATAAACCTGGTAGTTTATTTAGTTCACAAAGTGATGGAGCCCACTCTGCAGTTTAAGAATTCTTAAAAGTTTATACTGTGTTTTGATAGTGGCCTCTGTAACTTTGCCATGAAGCTGGTGGTTCTAGGTTTGGTTTTATTTTTAGCTTTGCAGCAATTCTGGAAGCATTTCTATTTGGCTGTGGTAGGGTAGAGAGTCTGTCCATGGTGCTCCCTGGTTTGTCTGTCTCATATCTGGGGAACTCAGAGGAGAAACTTTAGTAAGTTAAAAATATAGAACTGTAATTTGACATTACAACAGTTTGGGAAAACAACTTTCACTCGTGGTAATGGTGGATAGCAAATATGGTTCACATTGTATTGTTTCTTACTCAAGGGAGGGGGATGAGTTTAAATATAATAAAAAGTAGCTGAGAGGTAAATTGGACTTTGACCTGGGGGAGTTGGTAAACTGTATCATGCATCATTCTTTTATTTAGTTTGTATTAAATGGAATGGAATCAGCAGAGAAATACAGATATTCAGGGAATGAAGCAGGAAAGAGATTAAGTCATCCATGTGAATCTTGGCATCTTTCTGTACATCTTAAACTTAGGTTACAAGCTGCTCTTTGTGACAGAAGATAGCTTCTTAGGTCCACTTAATGCTCCCCATGTGTCCAGTTTTGCCCCCACACTGCCCACTCCCCTTGCATTTAGCTGCACCTTTGTGATTAACTCTGATGAGAAACGCCTGTGCTACTTTATGAGCCCCTAAGAGACCCTCCAGGTCTGCCACATAAGGAGATACGAGATGTATGTTCTCAGAGTTAAACTGAAACAAAAAGTCATTGATTGATATTTAGGGATTTGTTTGACACTCCACTAACCTGAGCAGCAGGTTCTAACTTAATTTCTTTTCATTTATGACAGTAAACAGATTTTCAGTGGATGGGAATTCCGTCTTAGTGGAAAGTGATGCCACCACACTTTCTCTGAGCTTCTTGCTGAGGTGTAGTGATGCTCAGCCTCATGATTAGTCTGTTTAAATCTCAGTCTCCCTTTCTCCCCCCCCCCCCCCGTGTGTGTGTGTGTGTGTGTGTGTGTGTGTGTGTACATACATATATACTATGGATGGTTTGGGTGTAAAGAGAGAATCATCTCTTTTTTGAGACAAGATGTCTTGTGTCATGGTCCTCTGCCCTGCCCTGCCCTGCCCTGCCCTGCCCTGCCCTGCCCAGCTTCTGGGGATTCTCCTGCCTCTGCCTCCCATATTCCTCATACAAATTAGAATTACAGATGTGTTTGCTATCATACCTGGATTTATGATTGGGGGGGGTGTCCAGGTATTCAAATTCATGTCCTCACACTTGTATGACAAGTATTTTACCTATGGAACCGTCTCCCTGCCTAGTTCTTTGCCTTTTTGGGGGGGCCCAGTGTGAGAGTCCTATGTGGTTTAGTGCTGTGTCTCCAGTGGCTGGCAGGAGCAAGCGCCTGTGCCTTCATAGAGGTTAGGAGTAAATGTTCTTATACAGTTGTACAGCTAGCATTGGTTTGGATTTTGAGAAGATATTGAGGTTACTTTGCCTTCTTAAATTTATGTGGGATTTCCCTCTGTATGCTGTGAATACCACTGGTTAATAAAGAAACTGTTTTGAGCCTATAGCAGAGCAGGGCAGAACAGAGCTAGGCCGGGAAAACTAAACTGAATGCTGGGAGAAGGAAGCCATGGAGCTGACGCCAGAGACATATGCCAAAACCTTGCTGATAGGTCACAGCCACGTAGTTATACACAGATTAATAGAGATGGGTTACTTTAGGATATGAGTTAGCCAGAAATATGCTTAAGCTATTGGCCAAACAGTATTGCAAATAATATGGTTTCTGTGTAATTATTTCGGGGGTCTGGGCGGCCAGGGAACGAACAAGCAGCCTCCTACAACATCAAGTGGGTATTCGGATCCTGCTTGGTCCTTTCCATGGCTGTAATGCTGGTAACCATGTCAACACCTTAGTGTGACTGTTACCTTTCTTCCATTGAGAGAGAAAAGAGAATGTGTGTTTCCTTCCTGCACTGAAAAGCCAGGTCTGTTTGTCTCAAGCTTGTAAATTCCAGAGATCTTGATTACCCCTTTTCTGTTTTCCCCAAGAACATCTGAGAGATGTGTCAAGCATTACAGACTTCATCTGCCTAAGTTTACTTCTTGCGCGTGAACTCTTCACTTCCAACCATGCCTTACTAGACTCTCAGCCAGGCAATTCTCTAACACTCAGATTTTGATAGGCTAATTTGAATGGCTTCCTGTGTTTCTTCTCCGCAAGTCTGCCTGTCTCCTAATATGTGCTTAGTTGGATGAAGGAATAGGAATGCCAAGAAACATCAGAAAGATCGAAAGCCTTCATTGATTTAAAGCTTCCTTTGTTTTTGAGGCAGAGTCTAGTAGCTATGCAGCCCTGCCTGAGCGGCCTGGTGTTGATTATTGCAGCACAGCTTTGCTTCCTTGGGCAGCGTCCCTTTGCCTGGGATTCCAGGTGTATCCCACTATCCCACCTGCCCTCACCTTGATTCTTCATGGATCTGAGTCATGCGTATGGATGCGTAGTTTACATACCCCCTGAAAGTTGCATACTGGCATTGCTGCTCTGGAGATGCTTCCTGGGAAATACTTTGCAGTGTAGCAAGTGCTAGAGAAATACAGAGGCAAGAACTTAACAGGCTGAGCTAGAGAAGACATCTGGATTGGGGTTCACGTTAAATGAATCTTTTAGGGCCAGCAGTTAGCAGTCAGGGAAGCATGAACAGGGCTGCTGCCCAGGACACAGCTAGGTCCTGGAGTTCAGCTTCTTTACTTTCTGACTCCCCTTATATTCTTTTCTCTCTCAGAGACTTAAAAGCTGTTGCCCATCATGCAGAGTGCATTTATGAAGTAGTAATTAGCTTCCCCATGTTTCATTAATCCCATCTGTGGCTGCCAATCAGAGCTTCTGATCAGCATGAGATAACTGATGTGACCATACTGAGCTGCTGTAATTCTAGCCCAGAGCAAAGAAAGTTGATGTCTCTGTCAGTCTGCTCGCAGCCTTATCAGGGAAAATTCCTCTTCAGCCTACAGAATTGCTGGAATAGCTTGAAGGGCCTCATTACTACCTTTGTGGACCCTCAAAGGGTCCGAGTTTGGGAAGGATTTCATCCAGGGGATGGATGGTGCAACTGGAGTAGAGGACTTGAGTGGTGAAGGGCAGGAGAAGCCATGTCTGTGTGTTGGTTATGCTTTGTCGGGCCCAAGTGTAGCATTTCTTCTTTTCAGTCACAGCTCTTGAACTCTGTGTGCCCAAGATTTTGTACTAATTCCTACATTAGTTAGGATATTTCTTTTTACATTTTTCCCCCTTTTTTCTTCCATAATTCTTAGCTTGGTGTAAAAATTGCCAAAGCAATTGCCTGCCACAAGTTTGTTAAAGCCAAAAAGGAGGTTGAAAACTCACAGGCTGCTCGAAAGAAGAAGAAACTGGCGTGGGGGTAAGTTCACTTTGTCCTGGGTGGATCAGATGGCTCAGCTGTTAGGAAGACTAGGGTTCAATTCCAAGCACACACATCGTGACTCAACAACTGTGCAATTCAAGGGATTTGAGGCTCTCTTCTGGCTTCTGGGGACCAGGCATGCATATGGTACACAGACATACATGCAGGCAGAACACTCAGACATGCAACATATAATAATGTTTAAAAATTGAAGAAAAAAAAGTCATGGTTCTATTTACTTGGTAGGAATTGCCGAAAGTCTGCTTATTCATTGAACCCGGTTTGTTGTATGTGTCAGTAGAATGAGTGTGCGGTTATTACGGGGAGGGATCTCCTCAGCCTGTGGGGTTATTACGGGGAGGCGTCTCCTCAGCCTGTGGGGTTATAACAGGGAGGCGTCTCCTCAGCCTGTGGGGTTATAACAGGGAGGCATCTCATGGGGTTATAACGAGGAGGTGTCTCCTCAGCCTGTGGTAGTTGTGAAATTGCAGTGCTTTGGTCACTTACCAAACAAGTTATTTTATTTTAGAAATAAATTGAGATTTTTATGCTCCTCGTTTTAGGTTTGAAGCAAAGAAGAGATGGGAAACTAAAAGCAACATGGGATATATGTAGCCTCGCAGAGTTCTTCAGGATGTTCATTGAGAGACTGACTGGCCTGCTTCATTTACCAAAAATATTTTCCTGCTTAGGTTTAAAATGTCAGAAAATTGATAAGGGTAGAAAAAAATAAGCCTAAAACTTGGGAGCTGATTATAAATTCTTTTCATTCTTTTTTCTAGAAAGTTTGTAAAGGAAATAAGCATTTTTATATTTGTGTAAGAAATTTTAAGCATATGTACAAGATGGGAAGAGTTTTATTTATTTGTATAAACCTACAGTTTAAAATCAATTTTGTGTTTCTTCTGTTAGGTCTAGCATAGCCTATGAGGTCCTTGTACTTCCTTATCTATTCTTAGCATGACTGTACTTTTTCTAGAATTGTGTTTTTCAGATTGGCTTTTGTTTATAATAGATTAGTCATAAATATAAAAATTCTCAATTGTTAATGACTTTACCAGTGTCTTTAATTACTTCAATGTTATAAGAATAATTATTGATTCTTTATGGAGGCAGTATAATTCATATTTTGTAGTCACATAGTAAAAGCAATTGATTAATTTTTGTGTAATGTCAGTGGGCATAATTACAGTAAAATGGTAAAAGCAACACATAGACAGAAGGACCTCCCACTCCAGTAAAAAGTGGACATAACATCTCTGGAGAATGATTTCAGCTTTGCCTAGAAAATCTCTTTCTAACTATTTCTCTACCATGTCATTCTTTAAATTGTGATTGTTGTTTGAAAAGGAAATGGTCCGATTGTGCTAGACAGGTTGTATCCTGGGTTGTAACCCAGGATATCACAACTCTGGATGTTGTTACCTCTTCCTCTGCCACTTGAAAGATGAAATGAGTTAATGAGGCTAAAGAGAGAACTAATACCTGGGAGTCATTGTCCTTAGGCATGTGTTTTACAGTCCTAATGGAAATCAGTCATTCGATAACTGGCAAGACTAAATGTGGACACTGTAAAAAATTAGTCATGATTTTAGTTATATTATTTTTAGATTTAAAGTAATAACAATTTCATTAACTTACGGTGATATGGAAGTTTTCTTTATATAAAGAATTAGTGAATAATTTGTTGCTCATTAAGAGGCCAGATGTTGCCGGGTGGTGGTGGCACACACTTTTAATCCCAGTACTCAGGAGGCAGAGGCAGGTGGATCTCTGTGAGTTTGAGGCCAGCCTGGTCTACAGAGTGAGTTTCAGGACTGCCAAGGGTCCACAAAGAAACCCTGTCTAAACAATAATAATAATAATAATAATAATAATAATAATAATAATAATAATAATAATAAAACCAAATGTCAAATCTTGTTTCCATTTAGTTGAGAACTGAGATCTAGGAGATTGGATATCCACCGACTTGTCTTCATACCTTTGAAAGGTGTCCATTTATAAATGTTCCTGAGTACTGTGTACTCCGAGTGAGTGAATGTATGCTTCACAGTGCAGGAATGTTTCCCCCGAAGTTCCTCATGTGGCTGGTTTCTTATGTAAGGTCCTCAGAACATGCGTTCTCCTTGGGCGTCCACCTTGTTTTCTTTGTCGTTACGTTCACTAAGGCTAGTACTTTTGCCAGCACTTTTCCCCCTCTCAGACTTTGGTGGAGTTTTTAGTCAGGATCAGATTGTGGAGGCTCCGACTCCTCCGTCTAATCAGCAAGGCCCTGCTCACCCACACCAGTGCCAGCAGTTTGCCTCTGCTTTTCAAGACTTATTTATTCCCCTTTTATATGTATGGAGTGTTCTGCCTGCATGTATGTCTCTGTACTGTGTGCTTGTCTGATACTTGTGGAAGCCAAAAAAGAGGCATCATATCCCCTAGGATATGTAGATATTCGCGAGATATTATGTGGATGCTCGGATCCTTTGGAAGAGCAGCCAGTGCTCTTACAGCTGGAGCTTAGCTGAGGGAAGGTGGTCAGAGAAGAGCACTCAGTTCCCTACTTGTGTGGACGTGGATTGTGGGTGCACTGCTGTGGGTAGAGGGGAGGAAGGAGGGGTTGGGTGAGAAAGCAGCACAGTGCTTTTTCTGTATGCTCGTCTCTTATTTGGAATTAGTTTTATTTGGGATGAGCTTTAATTTAACTTATTCCTTAGAACAATAAAACGGCAGCATTATTCCTAGAGTATCGGTGTTGCCCAAGGCATGCTTGTAGTCAGGGCTACACTGAAATAAGGGTTCTTTGTGGATCAGTAATAACTATGGTTCCTGAAGCTTCAACTTGTTCATTTACTACCTCCAGAATGCTTGAATTAGATTAGTAATGTGATTGTCAGTTCCTGCTGAGTGAGATTAATATGTTTTAGACCATTGGTATGGCATTAATGTTACATGATTTATTGTCTAAGTACTTCAGGTCAGAACAACTTACTGAGGAACAGTAATTTTCAGCTTTTACTGCACTGGTTTTGAGAAGTAAAGTTGGTAGTGCATTCTTGTTTAGGAGCCCTCGGGATGTTTCTGATTTCAGCAGAACATTCTATTTCTTTCACCAAAAGGAGAGTTTGAATATGTAATCTCAAGCTGGCTATAATTAGTTCTGATGACAGTTAAATACCTCAGCCAAGACTGTAAATCAGCAGTTAAACTCTGATTTTTGCAACTGATCATAAATCTCAAGCACTGTATTTTGGGGCAGGCAGATAAAGGAGGGGCAGACCTCAGACAGAGATAGAATGTCATTGGAACATTTGGTTACAGCTGTAAACCTCACACTTCAAATCTCATATGGTTTACACCTTTTGTCTAATCTTTGAAGTCCTTTAGTAACTTAGGTTATTAACAGTCAGTGAGAAAGTTCCGTGTGTGTGTGTGTGTGGTGTGCATGGGTGGGTGGGTGTAGGTGGGTGGGGTGTGCTAGTGCAACACTCCCCTTGTTTGAGTTGGGACCTCATCCAGCCTGGAGTGAGACAGGAGCCCATCAAGGTTTGTCCTTGTCTCTGCAGCCCTGGCTCTGGGGTTACAGACCTGTCTGCGGCCATCCTTGTTTTTTTTTTTTTAAAATATTTATTTATTTATTATGTATACAATATTCTGTCTGTGTGTATCCCTGCAGGCCAGAAGAGGGCACCAGATCTCATTACAGATGGTTGTGAGCCACCATGTGGTTGCTGGGAATTGAACTCAGGACCTTTGGAAGAGCAGGCAATGCTCTTAACCTCTGAGCCATCTCTCCAGCCCAGCCATCTCTCCAGCCCCCATCCTTGTTTTTTACATGAGTTTTGGGGATCCAATCTCAGGTCCTCCTGCTGTTCAACAGGTTCTCTTATCCACCAAGTCATCTCCCCATGATTTTGTTAGGGAAAGATTAATGCTATGTATTTGGAAATATATATCTTAATAACTAAATACGTTATACAAGGCTGAGTTTTCAATCAGATGGTAATTTTTAATCAATAATAAAGTTTGGGAAAATAAATTGATGTTATGTCCAGTCCCATTTTGAAATGTGGTCATCAAATTCAGATGCAATGCAAGTTTTTTTTGTATGTTGGCAAAGTTTGCTTTTATTTTTAGTCTTTGGCAGGGGCAAAAACACTTTGCATATCAATTTAATATTTTTTAAAGCTGTTTATTCATTGGCTTAAATTTACACTCTACTAGAGTCTTAGCTCTAACTTTCATAAAATAAATAGCAGTATTTAGACAGAATGTACGTATGAACATCTTTTTCCAAAAGCAAATGTAGATTTGTGGCATCAGAGCCTTCTAACCTGGTCATAGACCTGACAGGACACTGTACAGCTGGGAGCTTTCTGAACTCAGGGCAGCATATTTTATGGCTTTTCCCCACTCACTGTGTATATATGTGTGTGGTGTGTATTTGTGTGTATGTGTGTGTGCACGCATGTATTCAGCTCAGCTAGTCAGCTTGACCTTTGTCTACTTTATGAGTTCTAGGATTACAGAGGCTATCATGGCTGTCTAACTTTTACATGCATTCTCGGGATTTGAACTCCAGGCCTCTAACTTGCAGCACTGAGCCATCTCCTCAGGTCACTTGATGCACGTTTACTATGAATTAATCAGAACACGTCTTTATTTTCAAACTTTAACCTTATGCTAACAAGCTCAGTGTGCTCTTAAGTTTCAGTGACGTATTGAGACATTTAAATTAATGTGTATGTGTACCTTTAAAGAATATTTTTGTTCTTTGACAGTTCAATATATATATATATATATATATATATATAACATATCTTGATCACATCCACCCCAACTCTCCCCTCTCATTCGCCAACATGTCCCCTCACATTTACATAATTAAATGTGATGATGATGATGATGACGATAACCTACTGAGTCTTATTAGTGCTGCCTGCATACATATGGGTGTGATTAGTTCCACCAGAGCTGGGGAAACCTACAAATGATCACTACTCCAAAAAATGTCCTCATCCAACAGCCAACACCTGCCAGTAGCTCTTCAGCTAGGCGTGGGTCTTCATGAATTCTTCCCATCTGTGTTGGAATGTTAACTGGCTTGATCCTGTGCATGCCTCGTGGGTTCATATGCACACTGGCCTTCAGGTCTAGAAGATAGCATGTACAGCATTCCTTCCCATCCCCTGACTGTTTCACCTCCATCTTCTATAACATTTTCACTGAGCCTTGAGCATATATGTTCTTTACCATAAGATACTAAAGTAAACTAAGCATCTTCCACCTTGGCGATTGAGTACTCTGTAGGCTTTGATAAATATGCAGAGGTACAGTCTTTCGTGTGTATTTGTTTTGTTTCTTCTCCATACTGCCCTCCTTGAAAGGAAAATTTCCTCACGTCTCACATACTCAGCAGACTGACTGGGGAAGGGACCCTTGACCTCAGTGAAGAACAACTGTGGCAGATTGTGGTGGCCATAAAGAAACTTGGGAATCATTGCTCTTTGCTCTGGGGTTGGGATGAAGTAGTTGCCTCTGTGGCATCTGTCCTTTGCGTCTGCTCACTGGTGAATGTTCTGTGGGTGGTTGTTGCTGTCGTCAGGGTCTTCAACCACAGCAGTGCCCTCTGAGTAGCTTCTTGCCTTTCTGGCTTTGGTGAATCTGATCTTTGGAACCCAGCTATTGGCTCTGGTGGGACAATTTATGAAATGCCACAGAGTATCTTATGTTTTCAGATCTGCTTGTAAAATTAAGAATTAACTGAGACATAATTATATATTATTGATATTAGTAATCCCATTTTAAATTCAAGAAAAAGCAATAAAATTTTCCATGTGAGAGGCATTTTTCGAACATTGGGTGTTTAGTATGTGTCTTTTACATTCAGATCAGACTTCTTAGGGTAATAATATTCAGGAAAGAAAGGGAAGGGTTGGGCAGTGCTTCCCCTCCTAATAAATGCTCCTGTGCCAGGTTTCTCCCTGTGTATGGTGCCACCTGAGCAATTGCTACCTGCCACCTCCTGAGTTTTGGGCCACCTCTTGTTAAATTGCTG